CCCACGTGCACACACACAAATTTGTACACCTACACACAGATGTGCACACACAGCACTCCCACGTGCACACACACAAATTTGTACACCTACACACACAATGTGCACGCACAGCACTCCCACGTGCACACATCCACACACAGAAATGCACACACACTTCCACATGTACACATATCTACACCGTTTGTACACACACATCCACACTAACACACCCATGTGCACACACACATCCACATATGCACCACACATGTACAGACATGTGAATACACACAAGCCCCCCCACATCCACACAAACCCATCTGCTAAGGTTTCATTAAAAATGAAGCTCTCTTGACCTCCCGCCTCCTCCCCAGCCTGTTGGTTATGCCCCCGCAGACAATGCTGGGAGAAGACCGGCGGAGAGGGACAGGGCCTTGCTCTCCCTGGCCTGTTTGCCTCTGCCCTCGCCTGGCAGGCTGTGCCCAAACTCTAATTCTGCCTCCAGAAACTGCTCGACCACCCCAGGGCGGCGTGCCCTCCTGGGCGGTGGGCCAGGCTTCAGCGAGGTTCAGCCACACACTGTACCTCTCCCTCAATTCCAGGGCAGCCACAATATCACCACCCTGCCACTTATGGGGCGAGGGACACGGGTCTGGGGGCCCAGGCGCAGCCTGCAGGCCCTCACCACTCCCCCCCACCCCCCCTCACCCAGTGCCCCCGGCCTTGTGGCGCTGGCGGGGTTATTTTGGAGGCCCTCACCCCCAGCGACAGGTGATGAGCAGGGTCCTTGGCGGGCATGCGATGGTGGTGGTGGTGGGTGACGGCTGTCCCCATGTCTGTCCAACCACAGCCCAGGGCTGAGGGTCTTCAAAGAAGAGAAGGGTAGCCTGGGCACAGCTCTGAGGCAGAGACGCGGCCCCTCGCTAAGTGTGTGCCCAACTGACCCTCAGGGCCCGAGTTTTGGCTGCCAGCTCTCCCCCCGGCCCCGGGTGGCAGCTCCTAGTTGGGAATTGTGTGCCGACGCGTTCTGGCCCCTGCCCTCCAAGGTGCAGAGATGAAATACAGGGGAAGCGGGCCCCCTAAATACTAGCATACCACCACGAGAGGTTGGATCTGGGCCTCACTGCCAGGGGCACCCCAGAAGGCAATATATGGGTGTGCCTGCTTAGAGAGTGGCCCACAAATCCCAGCAATTTCCATCAGAGACCACGCAAGGAACAGAGCTGATTTCCGAAGACCCAGCCTGCCAGAGGGTGGCAGCCGAACATCTCTGCAGAGGGTCCCGCCAGCATTGCCAGTGGCAGGGAGTGGGACCCTCAAGTCCACCCTGCCTCCCCCACCCCCACCCATCCTCTACCCCCCATCTCCATTCCTCTTATGAAGGGCTAAGACATTTCAGTAATCCCTTTCTTGAGAAGAAGGGTGACAAGGATGGCAATCGTGAATTTTATTTTCTGTAGAAATAGGATTTCTTCTGGTGCAGAACTGAAAGGAATCCGTGCAGAGGTTCTGTGGCATCCTGGAGCACCCGACTCCACCAGGAAAGGGACCTTGTTTACAAGCAGTTCTGTCCGCCTCTGTGGTGTACTGTTTTCTAGGCAAAAAATATCTGTCTGTTGTACTGTATAGCCTTTAAATGCACTCCAGGGATGAGACTCTTTTAAGAAATGCATCCTGCTTCTGCAACCCTAGAGAGTACTAGGGGAAAAAAGATAAAAATCCCTAAGTACTCATCAGTGTTTGAGGGATGGAGCTAAACAGCTTTTCTCGTTCCTGGATTAAGCGCTAAATAAGCAACAATGTATCTTTTCTGTGTTCAAAATAAATATATCGTATCAATAAAAATGTTGCAAAAATAACATTCTCGAGGAGTGCATGGGGTGAGGGGCTCGCGCCATCGGACGCTCGTAAGTGTAATAAATAGCAGCAAACCGAAAATACCTTCCTTCTCTCAAGATGAGCAGCCCCCAAAACCTTGTCGCTTCCCTGTTGACACCGCTATTGGGGTAGTCAGGGACTTCCACGACTCACTTTTTTTCTTAAGCTCCCTGAAACACCGCATCATCTCTCTGAGCCGTGACCAGTGTAAATGTCGCCAACATGGGCCATCAGGTTTTGGCCCTGACTCCAGGAACACCAGGGACTGCACATTTTCCTAGCCCAGCAGTTGACTCTCAGCGCCCTGATGTTTTCCACTACCAGGAAGGGGGTGGGAGGACTGGTAATTAGACGGAAATGAGTTGTTTTCCTCCCCTTGCAGAAATTCTTTTCTGTGTGCTCGTTGATCCCTTGGCTGACAGAGGCTGGTTCCCTTCCTCGGTCACCCTTTCCTCCCACTCGAACTCGAGTGGCATCCACCAGCAGAGTCCTAGACCCCGGAGTGCCCTGAAAGTGGGGCTCAGTCCTGAAGAAAAAGAAAGGTGCAGCTCCAGGCCCGGGTCCCAGCGGGCCTGCACCCACTCCAAGCCCACACTGCCACCTGCTGGCCGCCTGCTGCCACTGTTCAAAGCCACGTGCTTCCCTTCTCTCGTTTCCATACCTGCTGCCCACAGACATTAAGAGTTGGAGACAGACCTTGTTTGGGTTCTGAGCTGGTCTTCCACCCTGGCAATGTTCCCTGAGGTTTAACCAGTCAAGCATTCTACTTTCAGGAATCCCTCCCGCCCCCCAGCATCTCTCTCTGGGCACACAGCCTGATGCCTAAGCGCCCCCCCCCCACCCGATGCAAAATAATCATGCCTCTGTCCTCAACACCTGCTGTGTGTGGCTCAGGCGCCACCTCTGTGCTCTGGGGCCCTCTTGCCCGGAATGAATGTGGCAGCCCTCATGGTGATGGTGTCCAGCCACTCCAGCCCGAACCACACCAACACCCAGTTCCAACAACACATAGGGCCCCCCCCCACCCCCCAGCCGAGGAGACTGTTGGGCTAGGCCTTTCCTGCCTCCCCCGTCCATACACACCCTGGGTCTACGTACGGCGCCACATGCAAGGCCCTTCTGCACATCCCTGCAAGGAGACTGGCCGCCTCTCTCTGCTGGGGCCTGCGGGGTGGGGCCGAGCAGCACGCCCCAGGCAATGGGGCTCAGCCCGGGGCTCATTAGCGCCCCAATGAGATGGGAGGTGACAATTCTTCAGGATGGTGGGAACAGGAGGGGGCAGGACCAGACCCTGGGACAGGAGGGGTTGATGCAAGGGGTTGATGAGGGAGGTGACCCAGGGAGCACCCATAGGGAGTAGGCAGTGAAACAAGGAAGGAAAAGAAGCCAATTCAGGGTGTCGTGGTCACACAGGTCCCCCTCCGAGGGGGGTGGAGACAGTGGAGAGCACACCTCAAAGTTAGCCCCCGACAGGAAAGGGGAGATGGCGCTCACACAGGTCCCCCTCCGAGGGGGGTGGAGACAGTGGAGAGCACACCTCAAAGTTAGCCCCCGACAGGAAAGGGGAGATGGCGCTCACAC